AAGCGCCATTTTTATGGTGTAATATTATTTCACGTAGTTCTGTGCGTCATCAATGGGGAAATTTGTTGCTCTACATGCATTCAGCCATTCGACAAATAGCATTGGGTACTGGTAATGCGTATATTTTTTTACGGCTTGTCAATTTTACGGGCTGCCGACAGCGACTGGCGAAAGTAAAAGCGTTTTTCCGCTTGGCGTTTCTTGTTGCTGTTTTCTTTTTCTTTGCGTTTCGTGTCCTGCTTTCCATTCATTTTTGTGGGTACTTATAGTGCTTACTACTGCCATAAAAGTTTCGCCGTGCGCGCCAAAAAGATAAACCTAGCGTATTGAATATGTAAAAACACCTATGGACAGTCGGGAAGTCAGTTTGCCGCGGTATCTGGCGGGTGGTAGGTCAGCAAGGACTTTCATGCATTGCTCATACGCCCCGTTGCGGACAGAAAACTGGGTAGCACAACACTTTTTCATTAAGCCAAAGCGACTTGAATGTTGCAAAGTATCCCTTGCAGACAAACTTAAGTCGAGTGCGAGGGCATGGCATATTGATTTGGGCTTGTAACAGCAAACAGCAGAAATTTAAGTTAAATTTTGGAACGAAATCAGCTTTAAACCAAGCATGATGACGCTGTCGATTAGTTTGAATTATGATTGGCCTGTTTGAATTGGTTGAGAAGTAGTAAGTACACGCCTAATCTGTTTTCTAAAAAATATAATGAGAATATGAGTTATACTAGCACTTTTTGTCGCAATATTGGCCTTTTGCATTTGGCCAACTGTAACTCTCGACAATCTCAGCCAATACAAATCAAACTATTCAAAATATGTAATCATTGGATAAGAAACTCACTGCTATCCCTGTTCATGTTTATTTTGTTTCATATGCTTTAATCTTTTCGCTCATATTCTTTTATTAAAAAAAAAAAACACTGCTTTCCATCGTGTCAGGTGTCGTCGCCCTTAACTTCGCTTTTCAATCAACTATGTCGACTAATGACACCACGAAACACTCAAAGAATAAGTGAAAGTTTAAATATTGTTTTCCCTCACATTCATTTTCCCCTCTTTGTTGTTTTTGTAATTATTATCAATATTTTTTCTTTGCGAAGAGTATCAAATTTGATAAGATAATTTATTAATTGAGAAATGCTGCTAGAGTTGAACCAGCGACGTTTCGTCTTTTTTGATGTCTTTAATGCGGGTTCAAATTTCCGCTTAACCAATGTGCAGTCATTCTTTGACAAGCTCTTTTATATATATTTGATATAATTTATTCACTCAAATAAAATGCAAGATAAATTTAGTAAAAGCCAGACAATTAAGTATAAAATTGAGGCAAAAGCTGGCAAAAAGTGTGCGATATTTATGTAAACTTGCCAAGCTTAAGTCGGGCAAATTTATGCAGGGCAACTAATTTAATGACAGTTCACAAAGTTGTGAATTGCATTAAATCAACATTTTGCTTAGTTTTCAATAATCGATTCCGTTTAACCTATTAAACTGAAATTTATTTGCTCTCAACCCAGTTTTTATTCGTTTTATCCAATTTCCCTTTTAACATTTCTTTTTCTTGATAATTAAACTTACATTTGCTTGTGTAACCGAGGGAATGCCAATTTATTTGCTAGATTATTTTTATTTTTGTAGTGTATAAAATCGTTAAAGATTCTCATGGTAGTTGCCAATTACATTGCCGCTAAACAATTGTAACTAAAACAAGCCGACTGTCAATGTCAATGTGTACTCTGCTTGGGCTTATAACAATGCCTTGGGAGTGAGTGCATGTAGTAGACTTATTTTGGATTTTGGCAATAATTTATTTTACATTTGCTGCTTGACTTTTGCACTTTACCATAGTTTAGTTATGTGCAGCTATTTACTTATATAAATCTCTAAACTCAAGCAACGTGCCGCCAGTACTACAGCTTTGCATGTCATCCACATTTGCATACATATTCGCATTTGTATTCGTATTTTCTGGCGGTTGTCAGAAATATATTTCGCCGTCCACACATACACAAAATCCAATTTCGAGCAAAAGTATTATATGGAAAATGGAAATATGCGGTCATATAAGGCAAGCCAAGCCCAGCCAAAGCAGAGCTGAAGTAATGTCCTGCCAGCGTATAAAAGATGCTTTGGTTATAGCCACAGATGCAGATCCGCATTGGCTGAGCGCATTTGCATTTGCACTAAAAATCCACTTGTGACTTTTGTGATGCTCCAGCATACTTGCCGAGATGCTGGGGCATCCTTGGCCAGCGCCTTAAGTTGTTGTTGTGGCTGCAACTGACAGAGTCTGGCTTTGAATATCCAATTTAGCTGTCGGCATTAAAAGCAATTTAATATTTATTCCCTGCTGTTGAAATGCCTTCATATAGAATTAGTCAGGTGCGATATTCAAAATGCAGGACTGGATATTCTATGTATTCATTATTAGTATTCATGTATTTGTTATTGGAATTATACGTCATTCCGCCTAAATGCATATGTGATCCATTGGAAAAACCTTGGCCAACACTTATGACGCATTTAAATGTCCTTGATGTGCATACAGTATGCGCATTAATAAACCTTTTTTCTGCATTAACTCATGTTTAACTTTGACAACTTTTAGTTTAATTAGGTGTCATAGCCTTGAGTCTAACTTTTCACTCAGAAACTTTATTGCTTGAGGTACAAAATGAACTCAAGGCCATAACTAGTTAAAAAAGTTGTCAAGTCATCTTAATTATTCATTGCCCATATCTAGAGCGGCAACAAATTGTATTTTCGAAATACAAGTACAAGTCCACACTTTAATTTCAATTACAACCATCTCAATTAGCTTAGGATAAATAAATTCAATTATACCTTCAACAGTCGATATGCATATTAATGTAATTTTACCACTCCTATTACCCGTTTCAATAATTAAAATTGAATGCCATTCTACATTTCAACATATTTGAATATTTAATTATCCAATCAACAAATGAGCCATCCATAAAATTTGAATTAAAATATTATTTAACCACTGAGTGACAATTTGATGCGCAAATTTATTGCAATTCTCTCGTTGGAATTCTGAACCGCAGTTTAAAATTCTATTGTGGTCTTTCCAAAACAGCAGAAATAAATTAGCACGCTTGCTTTCAATTATTTGCGGCGATATGCACCGCCGGATATTGAAGGCCCAACCGCAAAGCACATTCTAATTTGAAGTCCAACAGTCGAAAGGTGATTATGACACTGCAAGGACGTCAGTTGGGTGGGCACAAAACTTTTGCGGCATCAGGCTTGACATTGGCTTTCAAATTGGCAGCTAGTGAAAAGTTGTGGCAATTCCACTTAGTTGCATGCTTTTGTTACACTAACTTTTCACTTTCAAACTTTTTATGCCACCTCCAGACTGGCTAGGCCATACGCAAGTTAGATAATATATATAAATACATAATGAAACATTTTCTATTTTGCCAAATTGCATTCACATCTAACAGAATAAGTTGAGTCAATTGCTAGTTGGGAGAGTGTCAATATCAGAACTGTCAAAACTTGGAAATAATCGATGTGCTATTAACACTGCATACAAAATGCTTATCAAATTTTTTCAATGCTGGCAATGCTTCTGCACAATACATAGCAGTATGGCAACTCTGCGATTATAGTTCGATGAATTCATGCCATATTTTTACCAAGCAGATAAAGTGACTGGCAACTTTGCCAAGCAAATGCAAGTGCAAATTAATAGAATAATCAGAATACGACGAAATGGAAAATACCAGCTGAAAAATCTTGCCGAATAATTCGATAAAAGAGTTATCAGTTGTTTGAGATCAGTCACATTCCACAATATAGTATAGAAGTGGTCTACTTTTTTGGCCTGCAAATTTATACATGCAGACATGTACCTACATAACAGCAAAAAACGAGATTTGTACCCACTTTATGGGTACAGTTTGGTACACGACTCAACATGTTGCATATTCACTTAATTCTTAATAAGCCGAGCAGAGAGACTGCTGAGGATTTGCATTGCGTTCTCGAGTTAAATGACTGCAACGGATAGTTTCAGTCGGGTGGATTTGCTGCAGTTGTTGCCTCTCCTGCTCGGCTCGAGGTTACGAGGGAATTCTTGTGTGCAGCTACGAGTTAGTGTTGAAAAGCACTCCAGTCAGGGCCTTGTCCGCAGGAGCTGAAGGCGGCAGCAACAGCTGCAGGGCGGCTTGTGGTTATGATGAAGTGCACTTGAACGTGGACGTAGCTGAGGAGACCAGCACGTATTATGCCATAATGGCCTGCTACATACCACATATGTATAAATATACTTTTCAGAGAAATGTTCTAGTCACAAGTGAAAGGGAGCGGACGATATATTAGGTACATTTATTAGCCAGCTGAGATTTGTAAATTTGATTTCAATGTAATATATCGGGGGTTTTTTTTTAACATTTTTTAGCCCGATTTTCACATATCTTTCTATTCATTAACTTTACTTTTGATTTAATCAATCTGACACCTATCAATGATATTGTTGGAAATTCATGCCATTTAACGCAATTCATAGCAGTATATATTCTTAGTTGCGAGTGCTTGAGCTAGACATAGCCTGTATCTAACGTCCAACTATCGTTATAAACTTTCTCGCTGTCTTCTATACATGCATACACAAAAACACAGATACTCACAAGCACGCACAACTCTAACTATGCTGTAGCTGTGTGTGCCCTAGCCTTACTCTATGGAAAATTTATATTTTAATCATTTCGGAGCTGATAGAGCTATCCATTTGAAATGTGCGTGCATACTAAAGAGCATCAGACGATTTTTACAATTTTCGAATTTTATCTTTCATCTGAAAAATATTCTGGATTTCTATGTACGATACCAGTATCTACATGCCAAATTTGACTGTGTTTAGCTCGGGTATACTCCTTTTTATAATGGCAATAAAAATCGATATTTAATAAACTGCTTCAATTTGACAAAAAAATGTATTAAGTAAAAAGTCGATAGAAATTTGATAATAAACTTGGAATTTTTACTGATTTGGATAGCTTGTCGAAAAAATACCATTTGGTAAATCTATTAATATGTTTCACACTCCATTGACAATTACTCTTCCCCTTCTTTAGTTTCGGGTGCAGGCTCAGCGGCACCTTCATTTGAAGCTGCAGGTGCTGGTGCCTCCTCTTCCTCGTCATCTTTGGGCGGGTGTCCCACGCTCTTGCCACCAAGAGCCAATTGGGTTTCGGGTGAAACTTCACTTTCCTCCTCGCCCTCTTCGTCATCGACGCCCTCTGTGGCGATTGGCTCTGGTGGCAGCCAGCAGGAACCTTTGATGAGACGCTGTTCGATCTCGGCGATCTCGTTTTTGTAATACTGATTGAAATCGGGTCGCTCCCAAATGCTCTTCACCCATTGCAGATTGAAGTCCATCTTTGTGCAGCAGCAGAACTTGCGAGACTTGTGGCACTTGGGACACTTGGCCGGCTGGCGAGCAGGATGAGTGTACTGCTGCTTCTGCTTCTTCTTGCAGCAGTAAGGGCATATATGCTTCGGCTTACGTTTGGTGCTGCATGGAACCGGTTCTTTGGCATAAACAAGATGTCCGCGCTTCTTGGCGCAGAAGCAACAGTTGCAATCATCACCCTCTGGCTGGCGCTTGCGGGTCTGCATGCGATCGTAGTACTTTTTGTAGGCAATCTTGATTTTGGCCTCAAAAGCCATCTGCTCGTTGCAAGAGAGGCCGTCGAAACGCGCATAGCTCTCGGCGGTCTTGCGCGACGCATGCACCCAAACGCACTCGTCATTATAGCTAGGTCTGCCCTGCTCGTCGTAGGTCAGCTCCTGCTTGGGCTCGTAGTAGAAGGCTTTGAAGCCGCGCTTGATGATGTTGTATGCCAGATGCGCCTCGACCTTGTTCATCAGTGACTTTTTGCCCAGCTCGTGGAAGAGATCCTCTTTGCGCAGCCGCTTCTTGGGAACGGTATCGATGCAGTAGCATACCTGATCGTAATGCAGAAATGCATACGTTATGATGTCTACCGTGGACTTAGCCTTACACTCGTGCAATCCGCATATGATCATTATCTGTGCCAATGTATTGGCCAAGTCCAGTACGTTCTCCAGGAATATCGATGAGGCATTCACCTCGCCCAGGCACTTGCACTGCGTATGCTGATCAATGATACCTAGCGGCGCATGGCGCTGGCACTCCTTATGTTGACAGTTATTCCGGCACCGGAAATCAGGCATGGCGTGATGGGCCTGCATCGAGATTAGCTGGAAAAATTTAAAAAAGTATATTTTTAACAAATTATTTTGTATATTTTTGTTGTATTTTAAAGATTATATATCGAGACTGGCCGAACAATTGTGCTACATTTTACTGAAAATCCTGACTACACTTCCAATGTTGAGTTGATTCTGCTGATAGAAAATGCAAAGACTTCACTTTACAGAGTCAAGGCTAAGAATTAAAATCGATTATAAGACAACTTCCTTGTTTTCAATGAAGGCTAGGTTGATTGTAAAAAATATTGCTTTTTTGTCTGAGTGTTGAAATATTTAAACACTTTCTTTGGCAGCATATGAGCTTAAGAATATTATAATATCAGCTTAATGATACCAATTGAAACTACATGTGAATATTTCAATAACAAAACTTGTAAAGGGAAAACGGTACAAAGACAAATGTTTTGCTTGTAAAGCAGCCTACACATTTGTCCAACTACCTCTTAGATTGACGACCCTCTGGCTACGGGCATATCTAAGTGTTAATGACGGCATTGACTCAAGTTCATGATTGGGGGGAAGCAAATGGGCCTGTCTGGGAGTGCCGTCCTGCATATTAGATGAAACATGCCGGGGACAATATTCATAAACCATGAGCTGTTGTTCCCAAGGCAAGGCATGTCCTGGTTACTTCTGCTACTCTTCGCTGCTATCCGAGTAAATATATACATCAATGTTGAATTTATTGGACAAGCAGAGGTTCAACAACAAGCAAGACAATATCCGTATCCGTTGACATGAGGCAAACCGAACAAATATTGGTTTGACATGCTGAACAGTAAGAAGGAAAAAAAAAATAATATAATCAAATATGTTTGTGAAACAAAAATGCTGACAAATGCCGACCGAAGCCCCTCCACGACCATCCCGATGGGACACACAAGCCAAACAGATGAGCGATAAAGTTGTCATTACTCATGTCGCTGTGTATTTAGCCAGCCAGAAACCGCAGCTGAGGATGACCCTGAGCACTGGACGCATTAGAAGGCAAAATACCACAGGAAAATAAAAAATTTATTACGCCAGCTTTAACGGTTACATCAAATAAGTAAAACAAATATACTTATTTATTTTGTTGTATCTGTGTTGGGCATTAGCCGCATTCGCTGACTGTGGCTTTTATTTTATTTCATAATGCATCCACAGAGGCCATCTCCGTATGACGTTCGTATTGTTTTTGCAGACACATTCATAATGCCCTTGAGAGTCATGTGTGTATTGAGCCTGATTCCATCTAAAGAAACGCTTGCCTTGTTTTGTATTGCAATAAAAAATGGAACCTGCTTTTCAACTTTATTTTAAGTCAACAATTTGCTTATAAAAACCAATGAGTGCTCTAGCCGGTTATGCCTGACTAGGAGAGACCCTGTGCTTAACTGCTAGGTGCCGCAAGAAACAATCTAGCTTCTCTATATATAAATTTACAGCTGCAAGTCTTCCTTTCTTTACCATACACTATTGGTAAGCTTCGGCTAAGTATAATATTCTTCAGCTAAATACCATATTTGGGTTATTTAGCTCTCAAAATTGTTGAAAATCGATGTACATCGATAGTATAAAAAATGATAAGTTCGTTCTTAATATTTTATACGAATTTATAGGCATTGGTTATATTTTCAACGAAATACAAAAGTTTTGGAAAACAATTAACAGTTAAGGTTTGATTTAAAATGGGAATTTGGTAACAAAGTACGTTAATATTCGGAAAATATTCAGTAATTTTACCATTACAGCTGCTTTTCATTATAGAAGGAATCGTTTATAAATCGTTACTTAAGTTCAACTTTCTTAACCGTTTGGCATTCAAAAGACCAACATGAAAATGAATAATGTATTTAAATGTCAAATACTTTGTCAAGCCTACGTCAAAATTTGTTCATTTATATTCATCTTGGGCACAGTCACTTAATGTATGCAAATCTAGGCTAACTTATAAACCACACACCAGAGCAATAAATAAATAAAATAAACAAGAAGAACAACATCTCCTGTAATAAGTGCGATAAGTCAAACAAATGTTGAGAAACCAGCAAAAAAAACTTTTTCGATTTCGCGCGTAAATTATTCGGTAACGTTTGCATTATAAGGAACGTTTGACAGAAATTATAAGAAGTTAGGCAGAGTTTTGAAGAACAAAAAGCCGCAAACTTAAATTCAGAGCTCATAGGCGGACATTAGCCTTAAATTAGGCAAAATGATGCTAAAGAGACAAGCCAAATGTAAGTAAAATGAAAGGTAAAAGGACCATTTCCACGTGTCGCTGTGTAAATCAAATTATTGCAATGTCTGATATATATACTCACTGACAGGCCCATATACATATAAATATATGGACATAAGCAAACTGAAAGCAATTTAAATGCACACACAAGCGCACAGGGGGCGTATGCGTAATGAGCGCAGACGTATGCGCAATTTATGAATAATTGACAGCCCAAAAGGCAGCAACTGTCAGGCTCCACAGGAGAGACCCTCAACGAGCCACTCGCAACTGACATTTGACAATTTTGCCTAATGTGCTGGGCAAATTTGCATACGATCCGACCCCGACAGGCCGGGGCACATGCTGCTCATCATCATCATTATTTTAAATAAACATTAAGCTACGCTTTACAGCCATTTATCACATTTGCAGATTTATGAGCTGCCGTTGGTAAGTTGCATGTTGCAAAGATGTTTGGCTAAAGGCCACGACACGCACATTGCCGTGCACCAAAAAAAAAATAAAATAGGAGAACACGCTGGCAAAGTGTACTCGACTACGAGTTACGCTACACCAAAACTTGTTGGCTAGGAGGCTAGGTAGGATATTAAAAAGGGATAAGAACTTTATAGAGAATCATTGGGCAATCCATGCAGGCTCATTATCTATTTAAGGTAAGATTTAGTTTTTAGATGATTCAATTATAGTTATATTGGCAGCAAACGGGCATACCCGTTTCTTAGCCACTCCATGTTCCCTGGGTATTATAATATATATAAACCGCAATTTATGTGCCTGCCAGTTGCATGTGATTTCAATTTCAGCTGCCAAACACAGTGATAAATATATAATATATATACCAATATATTTATTGATTTTTAACACCAAAATTTCGAGGGAAAGCCTTTTAATGTTAATTGGCGCCTGCAGGGACGGGAGAAGTGAAATATATAGTATATAGAGAGCCTAACGTGTTACTCAAAAATCTGCGTATACCTAGAACTAGTAAAATGATTCAATAAATAAATCTGTTTAAATTCATAATGTTGGATATCATACTTTATTCTAAATTTTTATGTTTTGTTAGAGTTACGCACATGTGCATTGATATATGATATATAAAAATATATATTGATTTCTATTTAATTAAAAAGAAAATTTAAAGGAAAATAATAATAATAATTAATATATAGGTATATATCTATTTGAATTGCGATTTTTAATTTCCAATCGGAATTGCAATTTGAACATCAAAAAAGCATCAGTCTAGTTTATTTTAACTCGCACTTGATACCTGGCCCACACCTGAAACAGGCTTTCATCTGCTGCCCACTCTCGCACAAGTAATTCCAAGCGCCCACGTTTATTCCACACCATTGGCTTTTATAGTGGGCAAAAGCCAATACACCTGCTTAGCATGCAAACTGCGCCATGGCTGCGCCAACAACAGTTGGCCATTTTGTCTGCAAAAGATTTATGTGCGATTGCTCAAGTTTTATGTGCCTCGCCGTATTGCGTTGACTGTGCTTTAAAAAGTACTATATACCCGCCCTCTATGCGCAGCTGTGGCAAACGCTCCCTATCGTACTCTATCTTCCCATGTGCTCATAGTATTTTCCCCATCCTCTGTGTGTGGGTTTTTCATTATTAGCGAAGGCAATGATTTAAGTTTCTACGTGCGGGCTGCGATTCTTTTATGACTTTTGCTAAAGCAACACGGCGCCAACAGCTTAAGCGGTTTTATGTCAGGGGATGAGCTGGACTTTAGTCGGGTCTAAAGCACACTTGGCCCAATGTGCTCATGCAGCAAAGGTTAAAGCTTTGCTTTTTATTAGAATTTGTTGCACTCATGCAGGATTTTCCACCATCCTCCCTAGGAAGCTACAGTACCCTACGGCTCTTATGTGTTTATAATCCAAAGAGTATGTAAACAAATGCTTTAAAGCTTTAAATAATTTAAGGTAAAGCTGAAAGCTGTGCTTAACTTGAGTCTGGAAGCTCTGATACTCCGAATTTCATATAAAAGAAATATCGCTCAGTTACCATATAATTTTTTTCTAAATTGTAGCTGACAAATCAGAGTTGTATTGATTTTTAATTATCTTTATCATGTACATAAGCCCCATATTAGCGCTGCCCCCACATTTAAGAAGGCCGTAAAAGCACCGCAGGTACGAGCCAGCAATAATGTCAAATCAATAGAACTTTGTTGTCTAACCTTAATAATCCTCAATGACAAATGGCGATACATTTAATTGGCAATTGTGGGCCTGCGGGCACAGCGGCCCACTCAAATCGTGGCAACCTTCGACCTATCTAAGACGCCCCATCGACACATCGATTCGGCGCTGGTAAGTGGTTTTAGCTTGGCCCTGAAGCTAATCACAACATTCATTACAAAGCCATTAGCTGGGGCCAATCAAATGCATGCAAAAATGAAGATTCAACCAGAACTTAATCTAATTCAATCAGAGCCCAGTCGAATGTTGTATTGGATATATCGAAACGGATTCAAGCAACATTATGAGCCACAGAACCAATTGACAGATGCGTCAGTACCATAAATTAAGCGATTTTGGTAATTGCCTGATAAATGTGCCACATTTCGAGGGGCTCAGCTTAGAGGCAGGCTTAACATGAAGTATGACGCGCAAAATAGTTGAAGTTTCGATTGATATGATAAATAAACGTACCACAAATCTGCTGGGTTTACCACATGGCGCGTGGCACGCAATTCGCACCACGGCCCTGCCCTCTCAGTCATGCTCTTTCCTCGTCCGTTTACGGCTTCGATGTGGGCGGTTCATTTGTCGACAATGTGGGCGTGTCAATGGCGTTGTCGTCGCCTGAGTCGCAGTTGGTAGCCTTTCTCCTTTGATTGATTGATTGATTTGCTTGTGGCTAATATGAATTCATCAAAAATTATTGAACACGTCTCTAGAACCAGTATTTTA